CAGCATCATGGACAGCAGGATTGAGTGCCACATCAGCAGATTTGGGGGTGACACGAAGCTGAGTGGGGCAGTCCATATGCTGAAGAGAAGGAGTGCAATCCAGAGGGACCTGGACAGGCTGCAGAAGCTGGCCTCTGCAAACAAGTGGTTCAGCAAGGTCAAGTGCAAAGTCCTGCACCCGGGTAGGGGCAGCCCCAAGGATGAACACAGGTCCCTGTCTGCTCTGTCTCAGACCCTCAGCTCTGGAGCCAGACGTGGGGCTGCTGGGGTGGGATCAAAGGGGGCTGTGGGGATGCTCAGAGGCTGGAGCACCTCTGCTAAGGAGCCAGGATGAGAGCTGGGGGTGTTCAGCCTGGAGAAGGGAAGGCTCTGGGGAGAACAGCTAGACCTCCCATGTGAGATCACCATAGAATGATGAAGATTTTAAAAGACCTCCAAGGTCACCACGTCCAACCCAATCCATCCACACCATTCCCACTAACCACGTCCACATCTTCACAGTCCCTGAACAGCTCCAGGGATGACTTCCCTACCTCCCTGGGCAGCCTGGCCAATCAGTCAGAGAACAAATTTCCCCTAACATCCAACCCGGCCCTCCAATGGCACAACTGCATGCCATTATCTTTCATCCCATCGCTGTTATCTGGGAGCAGAGGCTGACTCCTTCCTGGCCACAGCTTCCTTTCAGGAGTTGTTGTAAGGTATTTATGGCCTTAAGGAGTGCCAGAGGAGGCTCAGAGGAGGCTAATATCAATAACTGGACATTAGGAACAGTGTTGTGGTGAAGCTGGCACAGCCTGCACGGGAGGTGGAGGAGTCACCGTCTGTGGAGGTGCTCAGAAAAAGGCTGGATGTGGCACTGAGGGACGCGGTTTAGTGGACGTGGTGGTGATGTGCTGACTGGGTGATCTTAGAGGTCTCTTCCAACCCGAATGATTCTATGATTTTATTTCCAGACCTTCTTCTTCTTCAGACAGAGATGAAAACCTTGGTGCTTCCATGATTCTATGAAACCTTTCACCTTCATGGACCAGTCTCTAAAAGATCTGTTCGTCATTGCTCGAATGCTGAGACAGGGAGAACCCAAGCAGCGAGGAAGGGGAGCACATTTGTTTACAAGCCATTGCTATTCTGGCTACTCCCAGGCAGCAGTTTCTTGTCTGTGATGATTACAGTCTCTTCTGAGCCAGCAGTGAGCGATCAGGGCGGTCAGGTTCCGTAAGATGGGTAAACGTTGGCATGCGAGTCCTTTTAGGTCCTTTTAGCCAGCTGAGGAGCTGTGAGACGCAAAAAGGGGATGACAGAGGCAGCCCAAAGCACCGTGCTGAGCTGGGTGCAAGGCTGCATTTAACACAGGGCTATGCCAGCACTCCTAAGCACATCGCCAAGCTCGGAGCCACGTTCAGCCCTCAGCCAGACCGAGGTGAGCACAAAGCAATCTGCCCTAAAAGCCACCAGATATGCTAACATATATATGTGAGCTTTGTCTCTTACCAGCTTAACAATCTACTCAATTGCTTCCAGACATCATCAATTAAGTGAATATTGGGGTGGAGAACCGACAGCTACAGACTTGTGGCCTCAATTAACCTTCCTGCACGAATTCACCACATCAGTGCTGACTGTTTGGATGCAGGTTTTCCATGGTTAAGCCAACTTCCAACAAGCTGTGGGCAATGCAGGTTTGACATCTGGCAACAGCTCATCTCAGATCTGCCATTATCTGACCGTAGCTCCGGTCAGCTCCTTTCCACCTGAAGGGGATGGCAAACATCGTCAAGAAGGTCATGAGTCCTTCTTGTCCTTTATGGGCAGCACAAAAGCCGTGAGCTGTGGTGAGGAATGGGCTTGGCAGTAGGAAAATGTTCTGAAAGAGGTGCTCTGCAGAAAGGAAGGTGTCTCCGCGGTGAATTATTGTTGTGTGCTTGTACATCAATCTACTGGGAGATGAGTTGCTGTTACACTGGGGATGTGATGGGGCTGGGTGGTTACCCTGGGGCTCCTAAAATCAAAATTCAAGAGATCTTTGGCTCTCTCTGATGAGGAATGCTGGGTGGCTGTTGGTTGGTTGCAAAAGTAGTCAGCTGTGTGTTTTACACGGACTCCGACTGCGTGGCTGATACATGGACCGTGACTGAGAACGGCATAGAAGTGAAGTCCACCAAATCTGTGTAATGCAACGATCTCTACTCAGCAGCAGAGAAGCAGATCTATAAAAAGAGGGGTGAGGAGAGAGTTGAAATCTCAACGTCACATCCTGGGATCTGTGGGTCTGTTCGCTTCTCACGAGGCCAATCTGCAAGCAGCCAAACGCGGCAGCTCCTGCGGTGCTTTGCTCAGCACTGAGCACCTCATTCTCTGGGGGCACTGGAAAACAAATGCAATCAGTTTGCAACAGATCTAATGGAGGACAGCAAGCCAGGGAAAGCTGGCTGGAAGCGCTCCTCATTTCTAGAAAATCTGCAGGATTTTGACTACTGCAATGATCAAAACTTGTCACTTTTGCACATTACTGAACTGACAAACTGCACGAAGCATAACCCTATCAGCTTTTTGAGCCGATGAATTGCACAGAAAATGCCCTGGAGCGTGTTGACAGGATCTGAAGTGCTGCTCCACCTGAAGTCTCAAAGCGCTGCTCCCATCGTTGGTGTTGATGTACAGCTCAAAAATCACCAAAATTACTGCAATATCTCCCTAGCGTGGCGTTTCCAAATGGGCTGCAGCTGCAGCCGTCCTTGGGCTCTGTTGGTGGAAGCAAAGGGCTCCATCATGCAAGGCTGGGCTGAGGCTGAGGGTGTGGGGGGCAGCTCCTCTGGGTGTGTAGCTCTGAGCAGGGCTGGGGCACGGCCCCACAGTGCTGTCCCATGGCCTGGGCCCTGAGGCACTGCGTGGGGCTGTGGACAAATAGACAGGAGGGAGCACGGAGCGTAAGGCAGCCGCAAGAGGGGTGAAGCTGCAGGGCAGTGGGGAGAGCTCCCAGAGGGGGCTGCTGTACATCAGATCACACCAAGGGCGTGGGACCACGAATGTACCAGAAAAGGGCAAACCAAGGCATCACGTCCCAGGAAAAGTTGAGTCTGAGGTTCGTTGAAGAGCATCTTTTAATAATCTGGATGGCTTAGCAATACAGGGTGAATAAGGAGTAACACTGCCCAGAGCAGCACATGGGTTTGCAGGTTACCTCTGAGTGAGAGGATGGATGTGTTTGTAGGATCTCGGATGTGTTTGTAGGATCTCGGATGTATTTGTAGGATCTCGGATGTATTTGTAGGATCTTGGATGTGTTTGTAGGATCTCGGATGTATTTGTAGGATCTCGGATGTGTTTGTAGGATCTTGGATGTGTTTGTAGGATCTCGGATGTGTTTGTAGGATCTCGGATGTGTTTGCCCTCTCCAGATCAGCAGTTCTGGCAGGAGGCACTTTTCTTCCCTGCCAAGCTGGCTCTTGCCATCGATGGCTCTGCATCCCTGCATCAATGGCCGAGGTCTGACTGCACTGCAAGAAGAGCCTCTCTGCAATGAGCTCTTATGGCCAGCATCGTCTTGGCAGAGCTCACAAAGTATTGGCTTCATGGAACTGGCATTACACTGCAAAAAGCAATGACTGGAAACAGGCCGACGTGCCTGCTGGCTTGTGTCATGTGCAGGGCTCGAAGCTTGGCAGAGATTATGTAGAGGTCAGGAAAGTCAAATGTCTGGAACCAGGGAGATAAAATCTGTCCCTTAGGTACAATGGGGAAAGCAGTGCCTGAGAAACGTGTATCTCTTCCCAGTCAGCCTAATTTCACCTTCTGTGCATCTGTTTTCCCTGAAAGTGGCATTAAGTTGTGAAACTCCTTGATTGACAGCGTAAATGATGAAACTTGCTCCAAAAATCAGCCCAGATGGATTTTGGGATGCGGTTATTAAGAAGGGAGAAAGCACATCTGGACTAGGAAAATCCCCGAGCTTCAAATTATTGGAAGATGGGCAGGCACTCAAGGGAAGTATGACAGGAATCAGCTCCTGCCTCCTTCCCTGCAGGTCTGCTATTGGTGCTGGAAATAGGAGTAAGGCTGAATGGAGCAGAGCCACAGAATTATTAAGGTTGGATAAGACAAGGCTGGAACTTCACCAGGCCGCCGCGATCTTCCCAGTATGAGGGATAATGGCTGGGCAGCCCGTTCAGGATCCGTGAAGGCCTCGTGCTGGAGGTTTGCCACCACAGGGTTTGTGTATGCAGGACCCGCGGGCATCGTCCCCCCGCACACTGCATGGCTGCCAGGGCGCAGGGCTGATGAGATCCCACCTCTTCTGGCACTGACTTCCGGGGAGCCCAGCAGGCAGAGGAGACGGCTGCTGTGGTTCCGAGTGGGCAGAAGAACGGAAACGTGGAGCTTCCAACCCGCTTTGCTCTCTCACCATCAAAGAGTTCTTCATTTCCTCTCGGCGCGTTGGTCTCAGGAGCCCCAGGCAGGCGCTGGGGGAACGCCGTGCCCCCCAACACCCAGTGGCCCAGCACTGCGAGAGAGAGGCAAGGACAGGAGCTGAAGCAGCCCTGAACATCCCCTCCTCCTCCCCCCCTCACCCGGGGGCTCTCAGGGGCTTTGCAGAGCACAGAAAGCAGCCGGCCCTTCCGCGCCGCGCCGTGCAGACGCGCCGCTCTGCCTTCCAGCCCCGCCGGCTCACAGCCTCTGCTTGGGCTGCTCAGCTCCGCCGTGCTGCTTTCCCCCAGCCGGGCCGAGGAGCCCCACGGGTCGGGCTCTGCAGTGCTGCTCAGATACCCATCGCAGGCACGGGCTGTGGAAGACAGTTTCCGGCAGCACATCTGTTTGCTGGGATGGCTGCACCTGGGGAGCAAGCGCCGGGTTCAGACGCGCGTCAGGCCAGAGGTTGGTGTCCGCAAGTGCTTCGTGTCTGATTGCTGCCTGCTCAGCCCAGGACACAGCCCTGCGCCGAGGGCAGGAGGCAGGGAGGGAGCTGCTCTCCGTGCTCCGCCGCTGAGCTCTTTGCACTCGGAGCTCAGACCTGCGGGTTGTTATCCCTCTACCCCTTCCCTGGTGACAGCAGCCTGGGTACCCACAGCATCCCTGGCTCCGCTGCAGGGTTTGTATTTCCTTCAAGCTTCTCCTGATAACAGAACACCTAATTGTGCAGGCTCCACACGTGAGTGACTGAGAGAATGAAGACGGAGTGGGGAATGGCGTTGTCATGGCTGTGCTGAATGTCCCAGGCACCTCCTGACACCAGATCTCGCCTTGCACGTTTGGAGGAGCTCTGTGTAGTGCACGGTGCAGGGAGCCAGGACCACTCAGGAGCAGAGCCCGAGGGAAGCTGAGTGCTGAGCATCCCCTCCTCCCGCTGCTGACTCCAAGGTCTCAGCTGGGCGGTGGTGAGCAGCCAACAAAGAAACGTCTCCACAAGCAATGGACTGAAGGAGACTGCTGCTGAGCGCCGGTGGCACAGTCTGAAACTTGAAGAGCATCTGAAGTTCTTGCCATCCAACAGCCCCATTTCGTCAGCAATTTTGCTCCGTTCCCTTCTCCCTTCTCCTGTTCCATCACCGAGATCCCATCTCGCACACAGCAGTAGCAGTTTGGGTTCCCTATCTGGCACGTGCGTCAGTGCGTTGCCCTCAGCTTCGCGCCCTCAGTTCTGCACATCCCATGGGTTCCATTCTGGGGTCTTTTTCACATTCTTAAGCACAGATCCTCCCGCATGGCTCCTGGCCCCTTCAGCCTCCCCAACAGCAGCTCCTCCTCCTTCGTCCTTGTGGGTGTCCCCACCCTGGAAGCTTTCCCCATCTGCCTGGGCATCCTTTTCTGCTCAGCGTACATCGTCGCCCTGCTAGGAAATAGCACGGTCCTGCTGGTCATTGCACTGGACAGGTCCCTGCGGGACCCCATGCACTGCTTCCTGGCCATGCTGGCCGCCATCGACGTGGTGATGGTGACGTCCATCGTCCCCAAGCTGCTGGGCATCTTCTGGCTCCATTCCAACCAGATCGGTTACACCGCCTGCTTTGCTCAGATGTTCTTTGTTCACTCCGCCACATCAGAGGAGTCAGGAGTGCTCCTGGCCATGGCTTTTGACCGCTACGTCGCCATTTGTCACCCCCTCAGGTACAGAATGATCCTGAATCGACACACAGTTGCCCGGATATGCCTGGCCATCGTGGTGAGAGCACTGCTTTTCATGGTGCCGTTGACAGGGATGGTGACAAACCTCCCCTACTGCCGTTCCCTCGTGGTTCCCCATTCATACTGCGAGCACATGGCTGTCACCAGTCTTGCCTGCGCAGACCCCAACCCCAGCAGGCTGTACAGCATATCCATGTCCTCTCTCATAGTAGGGACAGACACAGCTTTCATTGCTGCGTCCTACCTGATGATCCTGAAAGCCGTCCTGGGCAAGGAATCGTGCAGGAGGGCCTTCAGCACCTGCGGGTGCCACATCTGTGTGATGATGCTGTACTACATCCCCGGCCTGCTCTCCATCTACGTGCAGCACTTTGGCCAGGCTGTGTCTGTGCGTGCACAGGTTCTGCTGGCCGACCTCTACCTCACCCTCCCCGCCGTGCTGAACCCCATCATCTACAGCATGAGGACCAGGCGGATCCAGGAGGCAGCGCTCAGCCTGCTGCGCCCCAGGAAGGCTCACGGCTGTCACAGCGCTCAGTGACTTCCCAGGGCTATGGACCCACACAAACACAGCACCCATTCCATTCCCAGTGGATGCACGCAGGGAATGGAAGCCATGAGGGGATGGGGGAGGACTTGGCTTTAATGGCTGTGTGAGACCCTACAGTGCGACAGGACGTGTTTGGGACCGGGATGATGAGCAGATGCCAGGCTGCCATTGCCCTTCCTTCTCACAAGAGAAGAGGTGCAGCCACCGGCTTTGGGTTTTGAGATGTTCTCTGTGCTGTGAATGTCCCTGTGGTGGTTTAAAATTCACAACTGCACGTGTCTTTGTGTCAATAAACAGATTCTATTCAAAATGGGGAAATTTCTTCTACGGTGTCTTTTTGACTCAATGCAAACCTATCGTTGCTGTCAGCAGGAGACTGCCCTACATTGCAGGGTCTGTAGTCAGCCAGTTCCTGTGGGATGTGTAAGATAGATGAGTGAGAAATCATCATCTAATCTTTAAGACTGGAAAAGACTTCCAAGATCCCAACCCAAACCCCAACCCAACCTCACCCCACCCCCACCATACCCATTGACCACAGCGCCACGGTTCCGGAATGCCTCCTGGGACTCCTGAATAAGGAATCATAGAATCATATATCATAAAATCACAGAGCATCCTGATACACAACCTCAGACTCCTCTGTTATTGCTTCATGCCATTCCCTCTGTTTCTATTGCTGGCTCCTCCTTGTTAGGTAGCCGCATGCTGCCATGAGGGGCTGTAGGGCCATGGGGGGCTGTAAGGCCGTGGGGGGCTGTAAGGCCGTGGGGGGCTGTAGGGCCATGGGGGGCTGTAGGGCAGTGGGGGGCTGTAGGGCCGTGGGGGGCTGTAGGGCCGTGGGGGGCTGTAGGGCCGTGGGGGGCTGTAGGGCCATGGGGGGCTGTAGGGCAGTGGGGGGCTGTAGGGCCATGGGGGGCTGTGGGGCCGTGGGGGGCTGTAGGGCCGTGGGGGGCTGTAGGGCAGTGGGGGGCTGTAGGGCCGTGGGGGGCTGTAGGGCCATGGGGGGCTGTAGGGCCGTGGGGGGCTGTAGGGCCATGGGGGGCTGTGGGGCCGTGGGGGGCTGTAAGGCCACGATCCTCCCCTCAGCCTCCTCTGCTCTGGGCCAAACAACCCAATCAACCTCAGCACTCCTCGCACCCCTTGCTTTCAGACCCTTCCCCATCTCCATAGCCCTTCTTTGGACACTCTCAGCATTTTAAGTCCTTTTCGAACCGTGGTGCCCAGAACTGCACCCAGTGCTGGAGGTGGGGCTGCACAGCAGAGCAGAGGGGACAGCCCTCCCCTTGCCCAGGGGCGCTGCTGGGCCCGGTGCCTCTCAGGGGACAGTTGTCCTTCCTGCTGCCTGGGCACACAGCTGGCTCTTGTTCAACTTGCTGCAGAGAGCCCCAGGTCCCTTTCTGTGGGGTTGCTCTCCATCCCCTCATTCTGCTCAACAGAGCTCAGAGCGCTGTGATGAGCAGCGCAGGGTCTGGCTGGAGGCTGTAATTAGTGGTGTTCCCCAAGGGTCTGTGCTGGGTCCGGCCGTGCTCAACGTTTCCACCAGTGACCTGGATGAAGGGATGGGGTCCCTCTCAGTTAATTTGGTGATGGAATGAAGCAGGGAGCAGCGTCTGACAGCCCAGAAGGCCGTGCTGCCAGTCAGTGAGAGCAGGATGAGAGCTGGGCAGGGAGGAACCCAGGGAAGCTCAGCAAGGACAAGTGTGGGGTCCTACAGACGGGGAGGAACAGCCACAGCATCAGTGCAGGTCAGTGCAGCATCAGTGAGATGGAGAGGAGCTCTGAGGACAAGGACCTGGGGCTCCTGGTGGACAACAGGTGACCGTGAGCCAGCACTGTGCCCTGTGGCCAAAAAGGCCAATGGGATCCTGGGGTGCATTAAAAAAGAATGTGGCCAGCAGGGCGAGGGAGGGGATCCTCCCCCTGTACTCCTGTGGAACAGCACTTCTGTGCTGTGAGGGGAGCAGAGCCCCAGCACTGCCGTCCTGAGAGGTGGGGGTCTCCTCATTGGAGACATCCTGGGTGCCGTCCTGCGCACAGAATGCAGGGAGCTGCTTCAGAGGCTGGGCTGGGGTATCTCCAGAGGTCCCTTCCCACCCCTGTGGCTCTAAGGGTCTGTGACCCGTGCTGCTGCTGCCGCCTCACTTTCCCATCTCCTTTAGCCTGAAAAATAAGTGAGATGTGAGAGAACAAGGCGGGCTCGTGCTGCGTCGCCCTGGCACTGATCAGAGCTCACAGCAGATGCCCACAGAGGAACTCGTGCCCTTGGGAACCTCCATGCAGGACTCTCCCTGCTGCATCGCTGGGGGACTGAAGCACAGCCACAGCTCTGCCCTGAGCTGCAGGTGGCTGTGAGCAGTGGGATGTGGGGATGTGTGCGGATGGGGCTGCTGGGGTGGGGGGTGGCTGTGGGCACACGCACAGGAGCTGAGCCAGCAAGGGAATGGTAACGGCTGGGGACTTCCTACAAGAAATCGGTTCTGTCTCCCATTAGAATGAAGACACAGGTCAGCAGTTGAACAAAAAGCAGAAACTGTTCACTGAAAAAAGAAGTTTGTTTCTGTTTCTACAACCAATCTATAATGAGCTCAACACAGCTCGCACTGCCCCAGGGGGTCTGGGGTAGGGAGGAGAGGGAGGGAGAGCTGGGGAGGGAAGGGCCGCGTGTGGAAGATGTGATGGAGTGTCACAGGAGAGCACAGGGCCCATCTTATCAGTGTGAGGGCTCTGCGTCCAGCAGAAGGGGCTCTGCTGTGGTGGGAAAGAGCTGAACTACAGGAACGGAGGTTGGTGGTGCCCGGGGGCTGGAGGCAGTGATCTCAATGTACTGCAGATGCAACACTGATCTTTTGTGAAGTTCAGCTTTCCGAAACTGACAAAATTTAAAAGCAGAGGGAAATTAGAATGGGGAACTGCAGGGATCTCTGAGATCGTGAGCAGTTTGGCTGATGGGAAGCACTGCATGGCCAGGATGGGGCAGGAGCTGCAGCCACAACAACAAGTGGGGCAGAAGAGGAGTGGGGCACACGTTGGGACCTCCTGCACGTCGGGAGCTTTTGGGTAGGGAAAGCAGATAAAGGAGATGGAGCCATTCATCCTCTGCATGAGGGGCAGGCAAGAGCAGCAGCAGGTCTGGGTACACGGCATGGGTGTCCCCATCCTGCCCCAACCTGGCACTGCCCCAAGGAGCCATCAGACAGTGCTGTTATCTGCACAGCGCCCAGCCTGATGTCAGCGCCCGCACGCTGCCCCAGCGGCCAACAGGAGATGGGGCCAAAAGAGAATTACAGAACTGGAATCGAGTTACGCCTAATTCGATTAACGGCAATCAGCGGGAAATAGCTCTTGTCAAACAAACCTGATTTTGTTTTCTGATGAGATGGGAAGTTGGGTTAACCTGTGTGTGTGTGTGTGTAGGGTCCGGAGATGCACCGCTGCTGATCTGCATCCAGGCGGGATGGCACTGAGCTGAGAGGCATCAGGAGAGCGGGGGCAGAATGGAATGGTTGAGGGACCTCAACGGAAGCTGCCAGACCCAACATCACAACAGTGGTGATCACACAGGCACTGCAGTGCCTGGCTCTGGGATGGGAGCTGTTCTGCGCTGCCCTCATCGGGTTTCCTAAAAACAATGCAAACTGCGTGGGGAAAGGCAAAGTCAAGAAGAGCAGACCAAGAAACCGACAGAGCTGAGAGCCGGCTGCCCTGAGCTGCACACATGGAGCTGGGGGGGCTCCCACTGCATCCCAGTGAGCCTCCCAGGGGCTGTGAGAGCAGCGGGCAGCACCTCAGGGACACCAAAGGCAGTGCAACTCTGTAGGCACAGGGGGGAAATAGAGGTTATACTAAAAAAAATAATTAAATTGCAATCTTGTAGCTGTGTGGGTGGCAATCCTCTCAAGCTAAGCCATGCTATGATTCAGTTCCCTGGACCCATCCCTACAGACATCCGAGCTCAGTGAGCACTGATGGAGCTGTGGGGGTCTCTGTGCACTGCAGGGAGTGGGACGTGATGGCCTTCAGGGGTCCCTTCCAACTCAACCCTGTGAACTTACTGCGATGAGAAGTGCCTCTGTGGCCACACGTGGGAAGGCAGGACAGGGGGCTGCAGCTGGAGGGAGCAGACAGGCAGGGTCAGATGGGAAGAGAAGCGTGTGGCTGTGACCATGGGGGTAAGTGCAGCTGGGGCAAAAACCCAAGGTTCTCCATCTCCAGTTGCACTGCGCGCTGCCTGCCAGCAATGAGAGATCCCACACTGTGATGGCAGGAACGCCACGCAGGGCTGTGTTCTGCTTTGCTGTGTCCTCCAGCCTCATGAACTGATGAGCACATGGGCTGTTGGCACCACGTAATTCAACCTTCCTCAGCTGAGGGTAGTGAGCTGAGGCAGTGGCTGCTGCTCGAGACATCGTTCCTCTGGCTGCAGTTTCTCAGCTCAGTTTTGCCCTGCAGAGCACCGACCGCAGCATCGGTTTAAAAACCTGACTGTGGGTAACAGATCCTGAAAGGTTTTCCTTACATTTTGTGGTGCTGCATGTACACGGTTTTATGACCAAAGAAATGGTAGCAAAATCCCAAACTTTCTGTCTGTGTGTTGCAGGGAACTGAAGTCAGCTGTGCCATGTTGGTCCCCAACCAATCCAGCACAGCTCCTTTGCCTTTTCTCCTGCTGGGAATCCCTGGCTTGGAAGATGCCCACGCATGGATTTCCATCCCATTCTGCTTTACGTACATCATGGCCTTGCTGGGAAATAGCACGGTGCTGCTCGCCGTGAGGCTGGACAGAACTCTCCACGAGCCCATGTACTATTTCATTTCCATGCTGGCTGTCATTGACCTCATCTTCACAACCGCTGTAGTTCCCAAAATGCTGAGCATATTCTGGCTGGGCTCCAGACAGATTGCTTTTCAGGCTTGCTTCACCCAGATGTTCTTCATCCACACGTTCACTGCCGTGGAGTCAGGGGTGCTGCTGGCGATGTCCTTTGACCGATACGTGGCCATCTGCAACCCCCTGAGGTACATCACCATCCTGAGCCAGGCGCGGGCCGCGCAGATAGGGCTGCTCTCTCTGGCCCGGGGAGCTGCTGCCATGGCCCCTTTGATGTGCCTCCTCACCAGCTTACCCTACTGCGGGGACAGGGTCGTCCCCCACTCCTACTGCGAGCACATGGCCGTGGTGGAGCTGGCCTGTGCCGACCCACGGGTCAGCCATCTCTACAGCGTCGTCGTGGCCACGCTGCTGGTCGGGACGGACTCTGTGTTCATCACCTTCTCCTACGGGATGATCCTCAGGTCGGTGCTGAGGCTGCCGTCCCGAGGGGCTCGGCTCAAATCCCTCAGCACCTGCGGGTCCCACGTGTCCGTCATCCTCCTGTTCTACACGGGCGGCCTGCTCTCCATGTACCTGCAGATGTTCTCTCTCGGCTTG